ACTTGACACAATGTGCAGGTAGAGAGAGATCAGGTAACAATTTTGTGGCATTGAATTTCTCTGTCCCTTTTACGGGGGTTCCAGGGATTGGACTCAAGTCCTCAGGTTTGGGCAACAAGGGCCTTGGCTTGCTGAGCCACCTTGATGGCCCTAGTCCTGGTTTTCTATTGTATCTGTATGAACAATTAATCAATGGCTGGGTGTGATCCTGTAATCCAGCACAAGAAGATCAGGAGACCACAGTTATCTTATGCTATAAGGCAGATTTGAGGCTGTATAAGACCCCTCATCCTGAAAAGAAAAGTGTTCTTACTTCCAGGCACTAAAAAAGCCGAGTCAGTGACTAACCCCATAGCAATGAGGCCCCCTAGCATCCAGGCTGTGTGCACGTAGTTCCATTTCTGTTGCCATGACAACAAAACCCTGACCAAAGCAGCTCCCAGAGAGAAGGGGTTTATTCAGATTACAATTCCAGGTTAGAGTTCATTGTTGCAGGGCAGTTAGGTAGAGACTTGAAGCAGCCAGGCACATGCAGGGTCAAAGGTGAAGAGAGAATAAGTGTCTGCTTCTTATGAACAGCTACCTCTCTTTACTCATATGGTCCAGGATCCCCTACCTAGGGAATGGTGCCACCCACGGTGGGCTGGGGCTCACTACATCAGTTAACACAGTGAAGACAATCATTGCTCCTCTACAGTATGCCCACAGTCCAGCCTGATCTAGACAAACCCCCCACTGAGACTGTCTTCTCAGGTGATTCCTGGCTGGAAAAGTTGACATTAAATAGACCTCAATAGTCTTGAAATACTTATTCTTTTCTTTTTGTCCTTTCTATGTATCCCAGGCTGACCTTGAACTTGGAATCTTCCTGACTTGGTTTTCCAAGTTCAGGGATTGCAGGCCTCTGCTATGACATGTGTTAGTGTTAATTGTCAACTTGACAGAGTCTTGAATTGACTGAAAGATGGACTTTGGAGCCTGGGTGTGGGGGATTGTTATGTAATATTTTACTCTTTTGGCTTTCTGAGGGGCCTACTGCCCAGCTCCCAAATAAATACCCAGCCTTAGATTGGCTTGCTTCTTGCCAGCTTTTATTAACTTATATCATCCCATCTACTGTTTGTCTCTGGGGTTTTATCTCTATTTCTGTATACCTTTCTTTATATCTTTCTCCATGGCTTGCGGTGTAGCTGCATGGCTAGCCCCTGATGTCCTTCTCTCCTTGTCCTATCTTGTTTCTCCATCCCTTCTTCCTCATTTCTCCTTCTATTTATCCTCTCTGCCTGCAATCCCCACCTATCCTTGCTCCTGCCTCGCTATTGGCCGTTCAGCTCTTTATCAGATCATCAGGTATTTTAGGCAAAGAATCACAGCTTCACAGGGTTTAACAAATGTAGCATAAACCAAAGTCACACACCTGAAAATAATATTACCCAGCGGGGATCTTCTTAGTTATATTTAATAGTGGGCAGGACTATTTCCAGGGCTTGGCATCCTGGACTCAAAAAAAAAAAAGCCAAAAAACAAAACAAACAAACAAAACACAGGAAAAGGGAGTTGTAATTTGTCTATCTCTGCTTCTTGACTGTGGGTGATGGAACCCTCAAGCCCCTGCTGCCATGGCGTCCCACCATGAGCCAAGTAAATCTCCCATTTTAGCTGCCCTTGTCTGAGTATTTTATTATAGCCACGGGAAAAGATGCCAAGACACCTCCCTGGCACTAAAATACCAATTTTCACTGAAAATGGAAACAGCATTCCCCAAAATGGACTGATCCAAGTTTAGCAAGAAGTGAACAAGCCAGACCCAGACATCTTGTTATGCTAGATGGTAAGGAAGCTGGAGGGATTACACCAGCCCAAGGTCTCAGGAACTAACCAGTGTAGAAGGCTGAGTGGTGCCCATGGCAACAGGAGCAACAACAGTACCAGGAGTGGTGGCGCACGCCTTTAATCCCGGCACTTAAGAGACAGGCAGGTGGATCTCTGAGTCTGAGGCCAGCCTGGTCTGTAACAATGAACTTAAATGAATCAAATCTATTTAAATTGTTCATGTATACCTCTGCAAAAAAATTTTAAAAAATCTTAATGGCAACTAGAGTTTCAATAAAACAATACAGTTTTGTAAAAAAAATCAAACAGAAACAAAGAACAACAAACAGTTTATAAGTGAGGGAATGAAGCCCCCCCTTTGTCTTTTATTTGGGGATGGATCCTCACTGTCTCAACCTTCCTAGGGGGTACTCTGCAGCCTCTTCCTAGGGAGGGATTAGGGTGTGCACTGCAGCCTCTTCCTAGGGAGAGATTAGGGGGTACTCTGCAGCCTGCTCCTTTGCCTTTTGTTTTCGTCATTTTCAAAGGTTACTTATTACTAATGTGTATCTGTGTGATGTGTGAGCATGAGTGTGAGGTCAAAGGGCAACTCCTTGTCCCTTCTTCCCTTGAGTGGATCCCAGGGGTTGAACTCAGGGCATGGGGATCACACAGCCACTGCTAAACCCACTGAGCAATCTCTCCTGCACGCATCTTCTGTTTTTCTCAGCAAGTCGTGTCTCACAGGAGTGCTGAGCGACCCACGAAGAAGGAGCATTTGCTCCCACAAATGACTGGAGCACAAACTGCAGCTGCCACAGAAAAGAAACCCCCAGAACCCCACAGAAAAGAAGCCCTGGGACCACGCCTGTGGAGGATTCACAGAGCCAGATCTGCAAAGACCCCACAGTTAGGTCATCCTAAGGAAGTGCTGGGATGCGGAGCAGGAGGGGACACTGGGGTGTGAGTCAGCAGGCCACACTGTAGGGAGCCCTGCAGGACAAACCATCTGGTTTCCTTAGCAAATGAAGCACAAGGGAAGAAAAGAATTCGAGGGAACTGGAGACTACAATAGGCGCAGAGATGCTGTGCTGACTAGAGTGTATCCTACTTTCTTACACCTGTAAAATGCATATGGCGTTGCAGGGGCTGGGGAAAGCTGTCATTGCGGATGAGGACATGAACTCGGTCGGTCTCCAGAGCATACATAAAGAGTCAGGTGAAAACCCGCTGTTTTCTCATTGTGTCCTAAGAAGATCCCTGGTGAGGGGCACACACCACGTACAAAATGTGCAACAACGGGTAGATAGGTCTTGATTCCAAAACTCACAAAATAACTATATTTTAAAGGGCTAGTAGGCTAAAAATATTTTCTGTCCTCACACTCTTAGGTTGGGATGGATATATCATCAAGCATGTTGTTATTCATTGTATATAAAATTATGTAGCATAATTCTTTAATCGTTAAAGTTAGATGCAGTCATTGGGAGGGAGAGGACCCAGGCATGGTGCTGTATGTTTATAATCCCAGCTATGGACAGGTGGGGATAGGTTGTAGGCGGAGACTGCTGGTTCTTTCCTGACCTTCCTGACCCGGGATAATCACACAGAAACTGTGTTAGTCACAATACTGTTTGGCCAATAGCTTAAGCATATTCCTGAATAACTCTTATATCTTAACCCATTTCTATTAATCTGTGTATTACCACGTGGTTGTAGCCTACCAGTAAGGTTCCGCCCAGCGTCCTGCATCAGTCTCCTGCCGTGTCTACAAGGCATCCCCTTGACTCCGCCCACTCTCTCCTCCTCTATCTACTTGGAATTCCCACCTAGCCCTATTCTGTGCTGCAATAGGCCCAAAGCAGCTTCTTTATTAACCAATGGTATTCACAGCATACAGAGGGGAATCCCACATCAATAGGTGAATCCTTGGGGTTCATGGACCAGACAGTGTAGCCCAACTGATGAGTTCCATGCCAAGTGAGAGACTCAAAATATGAGGTGGAGAGTCTTGGAGGAAAGACATCTTTGACACACACACACACACACACACACACACACACACACACAGTGATACAGAGTTACTCCCCACATTAGACCCTGACAAGCTGAGCTGTTTTCCCTGGTGTGGAGTAGTGTCTTTTACTCCCCAGGAGTTCCCATCTCCAGATGACACTCCCTGTCACATGGTCCATCCCAGAAGGACCCGAGAACAGAGAACTATGCCAGAACTGAAGCCAGGTAATGTACCTGTAGGCTCCCAGCTTCTTTCCTCAGGACCTCTGGCATAGCTCAGTTTTCAGGCTGGAATGCCTCCAGATCTCCTGAGCTTTACCCCTGACTCACCAGACACCTTTGTGCCTTGGCACATGCAAGTCTCTGTGCCTGAACCATCCTCATGGGGACTCCACCTGTGGAATTCCTGTCTTCCAGAACTCCAGGAAATGCTCTGCCTGTCCCACTGGGTGACCAGAAGTTCAAGACGGGACTGTGTGGACATGTGTGCCCTGGGGACACCCAGCTCTGCAGAGGAAGAAGTTTGGGGGCAAGCAAAAGAACCCCCCTCTATTGTGGAGAATTATTGAAAACAGCTGCCATCTCCATCAGATAAGCTTTGGCTGCTTGTCCAGCCCATCTTGTGAATTGTTGGCATATCTTCATAGAAGGAGGGTGTGGAGAGGTCAATGGAGGCCACTTCTCTAAGCCACCTGCATGCAATTCTGCCCTAATTGCATGAGATCTTGGGGTCTTGGGGAGGGATTGTCGTGTACTGGTTGAGGAAAGCTGACTAGGGAGGGGAGTCAACCCATGTGACCACAGGGAAGCCATCATCCATGCTATCTGAAGACTTCCACTACAGCTGCTTTACAGCCACCATGCTCCTGCGGGTCTCCCTTCCCTTCACCCATGCTCTGTAAGTAAGCCCAATTAGCTCTTTAGCTGGGGACTGAAGAGATGGTTCAGTGGCTAAGAGCACTTGCTGTTCCTGTAGAGGACCCAGGTTCGGTTCCCAGCACCCACATGGGGGCTCACAAGTGCTCATCACACCAGCTCCTTCTGGCTTTGAAGAGCTCATGAGGAGGGGATAGAGGTTGTTTACATTTCTCTAGGGAAGGGATTCTTTTTTTAAAAAAAATATGTATTTATTTATTATGTATACAATATTCTGTCTGTGTGTATGTCTGCAGGCCAGAAGAGGGCACCAGACCTTACTCCAGATGGTTGTGAGCCACCATGTGGTTGCCGGGAATGAACTCAGGACCTTTGGAAGAGCAAGCAATGCTCTTAACCGCTGAGCCATCTCTCCAGCCCTAGGGAAGGGATTCTTGAAGCACACTCAGAGTTTGCCCATTTCCCCATCCCCTGCTGACTGAGGTAATAGTCTCAGTTAGCCCTTGCTGAGGGCTTCTGTGCGTCTGGACCCTTGATTGTAGCAAACGCCATGGCGCCCCCGATAAACTTGCTTATCACCAGTGGTCCTATCTTACAGATGCACAAAATGAGGCACAGCGAGCACAGAGAGGTTACAGGCCTGAGCGGACACACAGCAAACAAAAAGTCTGCCTCTAGCTTATGTCCGTAGCTGCTGCCTTATCCAATGAGGTCGTAGGAAGGAGCTGGTGACATGCCAACCTCACAAGAAGCGGCTATCCTCCAGGAGAGGCTGGCACCAGTGGATGACGGACACTGTGGCCACAGTGTGAGGATAAGAACCCCCAGGTGAGGTTCTGCAAGGAGATGGAAGAATCTAAAAGCCCGACTGGCAACAGCCATGCAGGGCCAGCCTGGTCAGCACCGCAGGAGGCATCTGACCTTCAGCCAGACTGCGGAGGCCTCTTTCCTTCCTCCCTCATGTCCTCTCCCTCCTTGAATCATAGCGCCCACCCTCGTCCTGACCGTTGCTCAATCCAGGATCACAGTTCCTGTGACTGCGCCTGACTGGCTTGGTCCTCTCTTTTCTGAACTTCAAGGGAAAGACGAGATCTTGCACAAGGGACTCCAGAGCCACGTCTGTTCTCTCCGGCTGGCCACGGAAGGGAGCCATGGGGCCTCTCCACCTGTTTCTCCTGCTGCTGATCACAGGTGGGACCCACCCTCTACAATACTTCCTTGAACAGATGGCTGGGTGAGGGTGGGGGTGTTATGGAGGGGTACTGTGAAGGAGACTGGAGTCCTGGCATGCCCAAGTGTCCTGCTTGGCTCTGCTTTCCTCCCCACTGGCCCGTGTTCTTCGTGCCATCCTTCCAGGATCAACCCCCATGTGTAGGGAAGGCTCGGCAGTACTTGGTCACTGCAGGAATTGTGAGGGCGGCACTAGCTGTCGGGTGGGGGCCTGTGGAAGCGCTGCTAAGAGCCCTTAAACACTCAAGGAGCACTGAAGCACAAGTGGAGTGGCAGAATGGGAGAGAAGGTTAGAGGAGGAGAGACTTGGGCTGGGATTTGCATCCTCCTCAGCCCTTCCCACATTTGACCTCAGCCCTCAGTGGGAGCTGAGGATGCTGAAGGCTCTACCACTGAGTCCTCAAGTGTGACAGACTGCCTCCTCCCACTGTGGGCTGGGTACCTCCTGCAGCCCAAGAGTAATGGACAAACCCAGGTGAGAGGAGAGGCTGAAGCACCTGGAAGTGGAGGGAGGTATAAGGCTCCTTAGCCTGCCTGGAGGCAGCTGGGTGGAGGGGCTGATGGGGGTGGGGGATGTAAGGTGCCTTAGCCTGCCTGGAGGCAGCTGGGTGGAGGGGCTGATGGGGGTGGGGGATATAAGGTGCCTTAGCCTGTCTGGAGGCAGCTGGGTGGAGGGGCGGATGTGTGGCGAGAACACACACATGAGGTCTCTACTCCAGAAGGCGGCTGCCAGCTCTTTGACCCCACCTTCTGTGTTTCCATCTCAGTAATAGCTGGAGACAAGACGCAAGAGACAGAAAGTTTAGATAAACCCTTGTCCCCCTGCTCTGGCCTCAACCTGGCGGGTGTTCCAATGCCACCAACCCTACCCCAAGATGATCCCCAAAATAGCAGCCTCATGTATCCCCCAAAATAGCTTTGAGACAAGTCCTCCAAAAAAGAGGAACAGAGCCACAGAAACAGGGAAGCTGGGAGTTAAAGGTCAGGAAAGGAGAGTCATCCAGTATGGACGACTGTTGAGAGGACATGAGGCAGGGACAGGGAGAAGGGGATTCCAGACCCTTGGGAAACCAGCCTGAGATCCATTTGCTCTCCTGAGAAGAAGAAAGGAAAAGAGACAATCTGGTCCCATACGACAGGAGGGAAGATGTCTAAAATAGAGCCAGAAGGGTTTTAAGAGCAAGGCATGGCTTAGTCAACACAGTGCTTACCTTGCAAGCATGAGGACCTGCATTTGGACCCACAGAACCCATGAGAACAGCCCAGTGCAGTGGCATGTGCCTGCCTCTCAGGGATAAAGACATGGGGGACAGAGACAGGCAGATCCCTAGAAGCGCACAGGTCAGCTTGGTCTGTGTGGTGGAGTTCCTTACTGTAGGAGTTACAGCTTGTTGCTGTGACAAAATATCTCAGAAAAGCAACTCAGTGAAAGGAGGGATGGTTTGGCTCGCAGTGCATTCCATCCTGGCAGGGAAGGCATGGCAGCAGGAGGTGGCTGTTACATTGTATACTTAGTCAAGAAGCTGAGAGAAGAGTGCAGCTGCTGGGCTCTCTTCTTGATTTTGATGTAGCGGGGGACTTCCGCCCATGGAATGCGGGTCTTTTCACACCAATGAGCTGAATCCAGATACTCTTCCATCGATATTCCCATAGGCTAACTTGATCTAGAAAGTCCCTCACATGCAAGCTCAGAAGTTTGCCACCTCGATGATTCTAGAACCTGTCACGTTGACCATAAACATTAGCTCTTCTTTTATACTGGTAAGATATTCTGTTTCAAACAATGAGTGGAAGGAGATTATTCTGATGTACACCGTGATCCCTGCATCCCTGGAGCTGCCCCCAAAGGTGTCTGGAAAGCATTGTAAGAAAAGCAGACCCTAATGAGACTAGACTGAGAGCCATCTCCTCCTGTTTTATAACCCTCTCTAGCTCTGGGATTAAGGGTATGCATCAGTACTTCCTGGTTTCTATGGCAAGCTGGTGGGGCTACTGGGATTAAAAGTGTTTATCATTGCTGCCTGGTCTGTAAGGCTGGCCAGTGTGACACTTTTACTTTTCTGATCTTCAAGAAAACTTTATCTATTAAAATACAAATGAAATGTTACTACAGTCTTTCACAGTAACATTACTCCTCTTTTACCTGAGTAACAATAGATAATCTTCTGCCAGTCTAGAGAAAATAAATATATTCCATAGAAAAAAAAAAGAAAAAAGAAAAGCAGACCCTAGACCCCAGGTGTGCCACCTTCTGCTTAGACACCCTAGGCTCTTTAAGGATCCTGTCTGCAGAGGCTGTTCCTGGCAGACAGATGCTCAGTGAATACTTGAGTAGGTGAAGTGACAAGTGGCAGTCTCCTCTGCAGAGTTGTCCCGAGCCCTCAACACAACGGTGCTGCAGGGTGTGGCTGGCCAGTCCCTGCGGGTGTCATGTACTTACGACTCCTTGAAGCACTGGGGGAGACGCAAGGCTTGGTGTCGCCAGCTGGCTGAGGAGGGCCCATGCCAGCGTGTGGTGAGCACACATAGTGTGTGGTTGTTGGCCTTCCTGAGGAAACGGAATGGGAGCACGGTCATCATGGATGACACCCTGGCTGGAACCCTCACTGTCACTCTGCGAAACCTCCAAGCCAGTGACGCGGGTCTCTACCAGTGTCAGAGTCTCCGAGGTCGGGAGACTGATGTTCTCCAGAAGGTTCTGGTGGAGGTGCTGGCAGGTGAGTACAGCGGCTGGTCGCACCTTTGCTTGATCCTTGGGACAGACCTCATTTTTGTGTGACTGTTCCTGGGAGACATAAGCAAATTCTGTCCCAGATTAGCCAATAGCAACGGATTCAAGAAAAGGTTCCACCCAGGTCTAGCTCAGTGAACTAGTGAGTTTGCTGGGGCTACTTGTAAGTGCGTGGAGGAGGGTTTATCTATGGGCAGCTCTAAAGCAGCTGCATCACCAAAAGCCCATCCCAGCATCTCTAGAGCTCCCTAGATCCCTGGAGCTCCTGCATCCCTGGAGCTCCCTGCATCCCTGGAGCTCCCTACATCCCTGGAGCTCACTGCATCCCCGGAGCTCCCTGCATCCCTGGAGCTCCCTGCATCCCTGGAGCTCCCTGCATCCCTGGAGCTACCTAAATCCCCAGAGCTCCCTGCATCTCTGGAGCTCCCTGAACAACTTGTAGGGAACTGGTCCTGGTTTGAGTCTCTCCTCCCCAATAGCTATAATGGCTTGGGGTGTGTGTATAAATCTCGTAAAGTTTCATGAGGTTCCTGGGCCTTGTACTTTTCTTTACTTCCTGAGTTATATGGTGCTCCCCAACAGACAGTGCCCTAAAGGAGTGATCTCATGGCTTGTCTCTCACAGACCCTCTAGATGACCAAGATGCTGGAGATCTCTGGGTCTCTGAGGAATCAGAGAATTTTGAGGGTGCTCAAGTGGAACACAGCACCTCCAGGTACAGTGGTGGTCCCCCCTCGGACTCCTGGTGGTGACTGGAGATAGAGGTCCCAGGACAACAGATCAGGCAAACCCCATGTGTAGTCTTGTGTAAGTTCCCTCCTACCTACATTGACGCTACTGGACTTAGATAGTAAGAAACTGGAGGCCTTAGTGATAGTTTCCAGAATTCTGAAAGAGCAGCCCCTATAGGCCCCTGCTCTCAGCAAGAAGTCTCAGGACTTCAGCTTGAAATCATGAGCCCTGGGACTCTGCTTCTTCAGAAGAACCAGAACGCATCATAGCTGCTTCATGTACTAATATAGAAATGATACAAATGCTGAGAACATGTGCAGGTGCATCCTTCCCTATGTACTAATACAAAAATGTGTTCTACAACTGCATGTGTTCTGCATGTGTACAGCTGCATACCTGCACACCGCATGCACCATAGCATACCACAGGAAACAGCTCAGCAGGGGAAAGGGATGTGTTTTGTGCACTCAGAAGGTGATTTCTCTGAGCTCCATAAAGTCCCACCCAGAGATAGTGTCGCCAAGGCCCCTAGGACTTTCTGGTTCCTCTATGCCCTCTCCAAGGGCAGATTTCACCCAGTAGGTCACCTGTAGTCTTCCTTCTCTTTCCAAGGAGCCAATCAGGAGAGACCTCCTTCCTACCCACTTCCATTCTCCTCCTCCTGGTCTGTGTCCTCTTCAGCAAGCTTCTTACAGCCAGCATCCTCTGGGCTGTGGCCAGGCGCAGGCAGAAGCTGGAGTCACCTGTGGCCAGTGGGCTGGACTGCAGCCGTGAAGCTGGGCACCAGCTTCAGATCTTGACTGGTGAGTGGGGCAAGCTGGGGGGTGTTAGGCCCGGACAGGGCAGGGATAGAAGAGACTGAGCTGTGTCTATTGCAGGACCCAGAGATCCTGAGAGAAGCCCCCCTGAAGTCCACCCATGAACCAGCCTGTTTGGGTACTCTTCCCCCTGGAACCAAGACTTCTGCTTCTTCTAGTTTGGCTTCAGAGGCTAGGCTTCAGAGGCTACTTCTGCCTAAACCCGTTCTCTCCTAGAAGCAGGAACAATCATGCCAAAGCCCACCTCTCCCAGAAGCAAAAGTACTCACGTGTTTGTGTGCTAGAAGGTCACCTGTAAGCTGCTGGGCTATGGGCATTAAACACTCTCGCACACCAACCCAGGACTATCCACTCTTTCTAGATGGTTCTTCGCCTCATAAAGGTCTTCTGTGGGACTAAACTCATGGTCGTGTTCATGCTAGGCACGAACTTACCACAGAATTTATGCATTTGGATAAGAAAAAAGGGGAAAAGTACCCTATTTGAGGCCTGGGGTCCAAAGATAACTGAGTTTCATTTTTGGTGCTGTAGTACAAAATACTGACCAAAAGCAATTTAAGGGAGAAAGGATTGATTTTAGCTCACAATTCCAGATTACAGCTCATCCCAGAAGGGAAATAGAGGCAGCAGCAACTTCAAACACCTTGTCACAGAACATCTGGTCAGCAGCAGGGAGGGAATGGACACAGACAATACCTGTGCTCAGCTCCTCTCTATACCACTAACACAGCCCAGGAGCCCCTCTCTGCTGAGGGAATGGTGCTACCCTCAGCGGGCTGGGCCTTTCCACACCTGTCAACATGTAATCTTCCCACCCCCTCAGACATGCCTGTGTGCCAGCTTCATCTAGACAACCTCTCTTTGAGGCTTTCCTGGGTGACTCTAGATTGTGTCAGAATGAGAGTTAAAACCGATCACCGCAGTGCCATGTCTTCCGTCCCCCAGGCTCCCGCCAGGTTGATCTTCTCACCCTCATCTCCCTTCCCTAAATTTGATCACCAAGTCCTTCTGTGGGAGAGCTGCTCATCTTCCTACTCCTCCCCTCTGGCATTCTCTCCATCAGCTCCTACAGTTGCCCCACTCCCAGCCCCAGGCTCCTTCCTGTCCACTCCCACTTCTGCTGTTCAGGGCCGGCCAACCCTCTGACTCATCCTCTCACCTCCCAGAGCTGTGCTTGCGTCTGCAGCTTCCCCTCTGGAGGAACAACAAAGCCACAGTAGCTGAGCTGGACACAGTCCACACCCCTGGATGTACTGAGAGGGAATGGAGGCTCGGGGAAGGAGGGGACACATTTGCCATCTCTAGCAGAGCCTGGAAACCCAAGTTTCCCTCCACATTCTCAGCACCCTCCCCTCTACCTCTGTCCTGAAAGCACATTTATGGACAAGTGCATTGCAACATGTTTTGAGCGTGATCCAAGCCTCGGGGACACAGTGCGATTCTGCACTAGAGTTCTTGTTCTAGGGAGAGGAGCCGGTGAGGTGGCAATGAACACCGTAAAGGGGTTTATGATCAAAAGCAAAAACTTTTGACAAAAAGTTAAAAATAAAGCCAAATACAGAGGAGATGGAGTGTGCCATTTTGAGCAGGACAGTCAAAGGGGACACCTGAAGGAAATTAGGAACTATGAGGGCATTGTGGGCAGGAAGAATATGAGGCAAAGGTAACAGACAAGACAGTGTCCGTCTCTTCATTTCTGTTGCTGTGAGGAAACATCTTGACCAAAGGTAACATAGGGAGGAAAGGGCTTGTTCAGCTCACTATTCCAAGTCATAGTCCATCAGTTTGGGGAAGTTGAGGCAAACTCAAGCAACTGGTCACATTACATTTTTAGCTAAAAGCAGAAACAAACGCATCCACCTGCCTGTTTGCTCAGTTAGCTTTCCTCCCCTGTTCAGCTCCAGGCCCAGTGCAGGAAACAACGCTGTCTGAATTCAGGCTGAGTCTTCCACCTCTGCTAACAGTCAAGACAATCCCCCTGACATACCCCAGACAGACATGCCCACAGACATACCTGCAGACATACCCACAGACATCCATACAGACATACCTACAGACATACCCACAGACATGCCCAGACATGTCCACAGACATACCTTCAGACATACCAGCAGACATACCCACAGACATACCCACAGACATACCCACAAACATGCCCACAAACATACCCGCAGACAAACCCACAGCCCAACTTCATGTAGACACAAACACACACCTAACATCCTGGCCAAGATTAAAGAAGAGTGTATAGAACTCTCTGAGGGACCCAGATGAGGAGGGATTAAACCAGCCACACCCAAGCTTTCTATTGGTCCTGAGAAGTGGACACCCGGGAATCCATGTGGCCATGGTGACATGCGCATGCTTTACCGTCTAAATGAGTTTGGAATTATGAGAAACATCCGCCATGTTATGTGTTCTCCAGCCTCACTCCACACAGCCCTCCCTGGGGTTCCAACCCTGCCTTGCACATTCCCACTTAGACCACAGACCCTGACCTGGAGCTCTGAGATGCTGGCTCAGCCTGCTGGGTTTCTCCAACTGCCTCATTGTATACTAAGTCTATTACATCATCCCCACAGATCCAGCCCACAGTCAAGTCAAACCCTTCTCAACTGCCTGTCCTGAGCCCCAGGCTGTGGAGTGGGTCTTAGAGGCTCCCTGGGACATGCCTGACATGCAGAACAGCGGCCGCTCTCCTCTTGGAGTTTGCTCATCCATGTCCGAGATGCCCACCTCAGTGTTTGAATGACCATGGAGATGCCCAGCCTTAGGCTAAGGATCACCATGGACTGAGAAGTAGATAGATCCTGGACCTTAGTCTCATCTCTACTTCCCGACAGCTTGTAGTAAGAGGTTCCTCAATCCACGACAGGTTGGCTGATTGTAAAAATAGATCAGCCAAGCAATTAGTCAACCAGCGCCCTCCTCGATTTCACAGGGGTTTAAATGATTTTTAGAGGTTGGAGAGATAGTGTCTTCATTACAGTGTCTCTGTCACTGTGAAGAGACACCATGACCAAGGCAACTTATAAAAGGAGGCATTTGATTGGGGCTGGTTTTCAAGTTTCAGAGGCTGTGTCCATGAGCATCTTGGTGGGGAGCATGGTGCTGGAGCGGTAGCTGAGACCTTAATCTGAGGTCTGATCCACAAGCAAAGGGCAGGGGGGGGGCTGGCATGAGCTTTTGCTACCTCAAAGCTCACCCCCAGCTGTAGTGATATTTCATTTGTATTTTAATAAATAAAGCCTGCCTGAAGATCAGAGAGTAAAACAGCCCTGCTGGCCAATGGTGACACACATTTTTCATCCCAGTAGACACACTAGTTTGCCATAGACGCACTGCGGTAGTGGTGCACGCCTTTAAACCCAGAACTAGAGAGGAATGTAAGACCAGAAGAGACAGGTCTCCGCTCAGTTTCATTCTGAGGATTCGTGGAAGCCAGGTTGCCATTTTGGCCTGTGGTAGAGGTAAGAACCAATGGCTGGTTGTTTTGCTTTTCTGATCTTCAGGCTGGACCCCAGTATCTGTCTCTGGGTTTTTATTATTCGTGCTGCACTTAGTGACACACATTCTGCAACAAAGCTACACCTCCTTAACTTCTGTGAATGAGAATGGCCCACATAGGCACATCTATTTGAGCACTTAGTCATCAGCAAGTGAACTGTTTGGGAGGTGTGGCCTTTAGAAGAGGTGTGGCCTTGTTAGAGTGCCTGTGACCTTATGGGAGATGGTATTACTGAGGATGGGCTCTGGGGTTCCACACACCAGACTAAGACGGAGTCTCTCTCTCTCTCTCTCTCTCTCTCTCTCTCTCTCTGTCTTGTGTGTGGTCAGGCTGCTGCCTGCTGATCAGGATGTAAAGCTCTCAGCTACTGCGCCAGCGCCATGCCTGTTTCCTGCCATGATGATAATGAATTAATGCTCTGAACTGTAAGCAAGCCCCAAGCCCCAGTCAAATGCTCACATCTATAAGAGTTGCCTTGGTCCTGGTGTCTCTTCACAGCAATAGAAGTGACTAAGACAGCTTGCTAAACAGTCCATCAACTGGGAAGCAAACATTCAAATATATGAGCCCATCTTAATTAGGGTTTCTATTGCTAGAAAGAGACACCATGACCATGGCAACTTTTATCAAGGTAATTGTTTCATTATGGTGGCTCACTTACAGTTTCAGAGGTTTAGTTCATTATCATCATGGCAGGAAGCATGGCAGCGTGCAGGCTGACATGGTGCTGGAGAAGTAGGTGAGAGTCCTACATTTTGTAGGCAATAGGAAGTCAACTGAGAGACTGGGCAGTATCTTGAGCATAGGAAACCTCAAAGCCCACACCCAAGGTGACATATTTCCTCTAACAAGGCCGTGCCCACTCCAACAAAATCACACCTCCTAATAGTGCCATTCATTCCCTATGAGGTTACAGGGGCCAGTTATATTCAAATTACCACAGAGCCTAATGTGGTCATTTTCATTCAAACCACTACAGAAGGCTCAGTGGTTAAGAGCACTTGGTGTTCCTATAGAAATGGGAGTTTAGTTCTCAGTGGCTGTTTACAGTGGCTGTAATTCCAGCTCCAGAGGATCTGACTTCCTCTCCTGAACTCCTCTGGCACCTCCCTATGAACATCTGCAAGCATGCTTGCACGCGTGTGTGCACACACACACACACACGTGCGTGCACACATGCACGCGCACACACACACGCACACACACACTCCAATGTGCACATGTGGCACACGTCTGAGCACAGCTCTGTTTGTCAGCAAGCAGCTTCGTCCGCTGAGTCATTCTGTGTCGTCACTGGGTTTTTGTGAAGTAAAAAGACATAACATTTGCGGAACTCCCTGACTAGGTGTCCAGTACATTGTAAGTCCTCGACAAACACTGACTTTCTCACTGTAAAACCCAGCAGCGTCATGCTTCCCTGGATGCCAGGGTCCCTCCAGGCCCCACTGGTCCAGCAGTGAACCATACTGATATGAAGATCTCAGTTTAATGTCTGACACAGTCCCATGACACACAACACCTCTATGACTATTTGTAGAAGAAGTCCAAGGTTGGCCTGCGGTGTCAAGACAGGAGAGAGTCCAGGTTTGTTCAGGGTCTTGTATCCCAGGAAGCCCTCAGTTCCTGTGGTCCTCGGCACACAGGAACAGTGGGTTACCCCATCACCCCTTCTACTAGTCTCAGTTTAATGTATTAAGCTCTCAGGTGCTTAGGGCATCGACAAACTGTGCCTGGGAGGAAAGAAAGGAAGAGGAAGAAGGGAGGGCAGGCACTTTGCTCAGCTGCTGAGGTTGGAGCCTGGTTCCCACAGTAAGTCAATTAAAGACAAA